AAACCTCTGTTCGTTTCCATTCAGCGCCTGCTAAGAAAAATGGTGTCTGCAGAACGCGCTATGTAGAGTTTTGTTCGCCGCGGAAGATGGGGCGTGTCAGTAGCTGGGTTTAACGAGCCGTTCTCTATAAGGTGTTGGCGTGCGTGAGCGACAGCGATTTAGGAAACGGGGTTGGCATCGCTCCAACTCATCCCCTTGACACGCCTCTTCCTCCGTACGGAACAGTCGAACGAGACTGTAGACCAATGATTTTATTAATTGTCCGTAACTACTAATAATGGAAAAGTTTGGAATCACTTATTCAGGTGAACGCTTCGGTATGCATGTGTTTCGAGGAAGTCACCAGGGGTCTGATTTGGCCGTGTTACCCGACGACTGCGTGGAGCGTTAAGGTTAGCTAGGGGTGAAATTTTGAGAATTTGATAGAGTGGATTTGTTCTTTCCTAACGTTTCAATCTATTACCTGGCCCGTACTGTTTTTATTTCTTCCTTCTTGTCTGAATTTGTCGTTTTTTTTGTATGAAAATAAATTTGGTCTACATCTATTTCCGTCCAAAGAGAAGCTACTCATTATAGAAATGCTACGATTGTTCCGCCATCTCGAATACTTGCCCAGAACCCAAGCACACCAACATCTCCAAGAGGACACAGCCTTGCCTCTGTCAGAGTATCTCACATCACTGCATAGTCCATCCAAAGGCAAGTATTTTGTGGTATTTTTCAAGTCTTTTCTTCATCAAATTTTAGCAATTATTTGTCAATTTTCCGTGATTTTCTGGTGTTTTCCTTGTTATTTTCTTTGTTATTTTGATGCAATGGTGGTGTAGTGACAGGCGGCACGCTTGCCACTTGCGCGGTCTCGGGTTCGAATCCCGAGTTCGACCCCCACCCAGGTCAACCAAGCCTTCTCCGGGGATGGTAAATTGGTACCAGTCGTCTGGGAGGATAAAACACTGACTTGTACATCGGCTGGCCACCGCAAGTCATTGTATAGGCCACATCGCATTCAATAAGCCACTACGATTCTGAATGGAAGTAGAATGCGTGCCGCATCCCACAAAGGGATTGATTCAACGGCGAAGACTTTATCCTTTTTATTTTATAACCAATGCTTTCCTTTGCCAGCCTCGTAGTTTATTTCTCTTTTATTCCAAGGAAATTTAGCAATTGGTGGTCATGCCGAAGCGATTGCTGTAGCCTCTAGGCGTACTCTACGTAAATGCAGAGGAATTCGGTATGTATGTATTGAAAATTCCTCAGCCTTCGCACGCGATTAAATATGAGCTTGCAATCACCTCTGTATTCCCTTATACCAGTCCTCATGACATTGCAGACCAGTGGGCGGTGAGCCCGCGCTGCGGCGTGACGCCGGCTGTTGACGCGAATGTCAATAAGCTTGCACAGGCCGCGTATAGTATCGCGCGCGGCGCACCCGCCCAACCGGTCTGCAATGTCAGGACTATACTTGGCATGTCTGGTAAATTGGGTCGCCGCTAATTCAGTACGGCACTTTTCACTTCTCTGAAGCTGCTAGGAATCGAGTGGGATTGATGGGTAATGATCTCTGTGGCGGTCTACCAGACTCCGCCCATGCTGTGTGCACCTATAGCGCCTAATACCTGCTGAACGCGCTACTCTCACTTCTGCTCGTCCATATCTGTGTTGTTGTTGTTGTTGTTGTTGTTGCTGCTGTTGTTGTTGTTGTTAAGTGTTCGCTGCGAGATCTTATAGTATCGTCGAAAGTGCTGCACATTGAGTGTAGCGCGGACAAAGTATTGAGGCGGCACCCGACACTGCACATCAGCCCCGCTGCAGTGCACTTTTGACCAAAGTAAGTGGTACACTACTGCAGGATCTATTCGCATGGCGCCAAGATCCACTGGCAGCGCACTTTTCAGCGTACATGATGAAACTGTCAGCCTCTGAGGGCGACAATTCAGTTAAACGTTAGGCTATTCGATGAATATTCCTCCTACACCCTCGAAAGGCGAAAACAACTAGGCCCAATCAGCGGAAGTTGATTACAGGACGAAATCAGATGGTGGAATCCGAACAACTACAGCAGTTTCTTTGTAACCGAGCCCCCTTCCACAGTGACAGAAACCGAACAAGCTTTCGGGCTGTTGGTGAGTTGGAGAATAGTGAGGTTTCATTCTGCTAATCTCAAATTCAGTTGTTAAGGATCTGAAAGATAAGGGTGCTATCACAACCCAGACCAAGGAGAACCTCATCTTTCTCGTCGCCGCTCTGCCACGAGAAACTCGACAGAATCTCTCGTACACTCTCAATGAATTCGTGCTTCGATGTTCGTTTAACAGCAAGGACTGCAATATGGAACGGTATGGCCTTCAGGCAATCCAACTGGACTTCAGTTAGTACCACTGTGCCTTTCAGCGATTTCAAGTTGCACATCGATCCTGAGTTCGGCAATTGCTACACTTTCAACTTCAACGATTCCGTCGAGCTAAAGAACAGCAGAGCAGGGCCTATGTACGGTCAGTGATAATTTCTTCTCATAGCAGATCTATGCGATTGGCACTTATTTTTCATCCATTGGGATTTAGGCCTGCTTGTCGATATTACGCTTCCTGCAGCGGTAATACTCCACTTGAAAACACACTCTGTCGCTCTTCTCCTTATCCGATAGTGATGCTTAGCTTTCTTCCTAGGTTGAGGGCTATCTAAACCCGGCCAAACCTCGGGTTCGCTTCAATTTTGTCAAAATCTATCAGAACCTGTCGTTAAGCATTCCCTCAATGTGGCTTAGAACCGCAGGCATCATGCTCCGCTCCCGACCTGCTTCTGATACATTTATACAAATTTTGCAATTTTTTCCGATTTTTTTTGCATTTCCGCTTGCACTACACAACTGTGGAACGGCAGACTACACATCCTGACATAAATATTTGACCCGCACCTTCTCCCCCCAGATTACTCCGCCCCTTTCTCAGAAAAAGAGAAGAGACCATTCAACTCCTTTTGATTTTTTTATTCTACTCTTTCTCGTCGCTTCCATGGCGTCTGGCATTCTGTAGATATAAAAATTTATGATACTCCATGTTCGACTGTCCATGAACCTTGGCATGGTGTGTGTCCTTGTCTTCAATGATTTCTTGAAGCCACAACCAAGGTGTTAAATCACTTTATTGGGCTACGTTTCGGCTAGTCGCCTTCGTCAGAGCCTGGAAGTTGAAGATCAGTGATTCAATCCTCATAAATCATTTCAAACTTAGAAATAGTTCGTAGATCAGCGCATCTAGGAAGGTATCGCAAATCCGAAACACAAGAACTCACCTTAGAACATACGGTAGGTTTTGTAGAGGACCACCGCTAAACTGACTAACTGTGTGTGGCTTCAGATGACCCAGCCCCTCGACCTGAAGCCGATGGCGATTGAAGCCCACACAGGTCGAACGGGGCGAGCTCGTTTGTAATGGCGAGGCACTCGTCTTTCTTGTTCATTTTTGGACTTTAGCGCGTATCCAAAAGGCCTCCAAAGTTTTGCGTGCTGAGGTCTGGGGCTCTCGCATCAGAATCCTCACGGTCACCTCAAACTCCGCACCTCCATGGCACTGCCGCCTGTGAGCTCCCAGGGGGTCTCCGGTCTTGACTTCTTCAAGCCATCCAAGTGTTCCCTGATCCTGGAACAAAGTGGTCGTCCGGTTTCCCCAATATACTCATCCCCACATAGCGCACATGATATCAGGTAGATCACGCCTGATCTCATGCAATCACCCAATCGCCACCCGCGGTTGCGAATGCTGTTTCCTAAGGTTCGCAGGGGGATCTCGACTACACGGACTAGACGTCGAGACCACACCTACGCAGGGTCGTTCTTACGGTGCAGCTGATCGCGTCGCTCACAAAAGGGCAAACAAAATGGCACCTTCCCAGACTGCTCGACTTCCGATCCCTCTTGCCTCCTACTGGGTGGTCCAGAAAGGCATTCAGCCCTTGGGGGTACCCGTTGGAAAGGGAAATGTTCTGGCCAGTTTAGCGGTGTCCTCTACAAAACCTACCGTATGTTCTAAGGTGAGTTCTTGTGTTTCGGATTTGCGATACCTTCCTAGATGCGCTGATCTACGAACTATTTCTAAGTTTGAAATGATTTATGAGGATTGAATCACTGATCTTCAACTTCCAGGCTCTGACGAAGGCGACTAGCCGAAACGTTAGCCCAATAAAGTGATTTACCACCTTGGTTGTGGCTTCAAGAACTCATTGAAGATAAAAATTTATGTTCCCTCCGAAGATAGGGCGTTTGGGAGGAAGGAGAGAGTGGTTTGGATCGCATCTCAAACAGGGCGCAGTTCGGCAACGGGGGCCCCTTTGCACTTTTGCCACTTCCCATCGACGTGTCGAGCCATCGAGAGAGCCTTACGAGAGTTGACAGGTTTTATCATGGTGGCTGGACGAGCTTGCTCCAGCTACACAAGAGTTCACAGGTTTCACCAGAGTGAGACTTGTAAACCGGAACTAGTGAAGCTGCGAGTGTGCAAGATGCCTCCCCCCCCGTCGCCGAACTGCACCCTAGAACAGCATTGTTCTTCAATTTTTGCGGATTCAAGAGGGCATCAGTGACGAAAAAGCTGCCTTGCCAAGCTCCGCCCTCTCCACACGCCCTATCGAGGAGCAGGGATGATGACTCTTCATGACTACAAGCTAGACCTCGCTTCCGCAAACGCAGCCCACTTTTGTATCACTTTTTGAGTCTCGTTATGAATTTTTCTGTTTTTTCCCCTACTTCCTTTCATATCCTTTCATTTCACTGTTTGCTAAGATATGATATCGTAGAGTTAACCTTTATTTAATTCAGTGAACTGAATAGAATAGATCTCATATTCTGGCACTCGAGGGGATGGTCGACGGTTCCTAACGTACAAAGTGCAGTCCGCATCCATTTTTTTTACATTTTACCCGAGTTTACGCCCTCGAAAGGGAACTTACTATGTACAGAAAAGTTTCCCAATGAGGATAGTTGGTTGGTTCATAACACTGCTAATAATATCCGTACGTTTCAGGATTACGTCTTCTTCTTGACGTTCATCAGGACGACTATATGCCAACAACAGAAGCGGCTGGTGTACGTATTGTTGTTCATGAACAGGTGAGTTATTTATCAACACCTTTGTCACAATTAGCTCACAGCAGGGAGGAGGGGGGGAGGGGGAGAGAATGGCTGCTAGTGTTCTCCATGAAGCTCTAAAACATTGCACATCATGAACTGTTCTAGGATCAAGAACCGTTTCCGGACACCTTCGGGTACAGTGCGCCGACAGGATTTGTGTCGTCATTTGGGTTGAAGACGGTAAATGAATAAACTATTCCCATTAGTTCAAAATGGACTCCCATCTGAAATTATATCTCACACGAATCCAATAGCAGCTGGACTAATTACTTGCACATTTACAGTCCTTTTATAGAAAGTGCTTCATAGAATGGATGCTCCATATGGGGCATGCAGCGACACGTTTCGGCCGGAGCGGTACATCTATGAGGAACATTATTCTCCTGAAGTAAGTTTCACGTTTTCCTTTTGCCCTTCATCCTTTCTTTTGTTCCAATTTGACATTTTAAGGGTTGCCATCGGAGCTGTTTTCAACTGAAAGTGCTCGATCAGTGTGGTTGTGGCGATCCACGATTTCCGCTACCATCCGATGGGAAGCGATATTGCAGTGCGAAAAGTGTTGCTGACAGTCAGTTTCTTGTTGAAGTTGCTACGCTGCCATGCGGAATATACAGAGGGGGGGGCAAAAAAAGTCACTTCGACCGAGTCACATATCAGCAAAGTTTTCGCAGCCCAGACAGAGGACGTGGATACGAGTACCAGGGCGGAAGATACCCTCGATAAGCAGGAGCTGGCTCTCGCCCATCACCTTCATGTACACCAAAATATGAAGTCATCTCCAGTCGCAGCCTGACTGGAGAAGACCTTTGGAATTCATGTCACCTCCAAACAGCTGCGAAACTTCTTGTATGGAGTCACCCATGGATAGCTACCTGGAGACCAGTACTCTCGATCTGGAAGACCTCCAACATCGAGCAGCTCCGACAACGTCGCTACGGTCTAGGACATCATCTTCACCGTAGTCGCCAAGGCGCGAGTTGATGGTATGGACCGGACGTACCTGAAAGGGAAGACCGATATTTTCTTCGTGGACCCGGACTGAAGGTGAGCGCTGGCGGTTACATCGAGCAGCTCGAGAAGAATATCCTCCCCACATGTCGTCGCCCGTACCTTCTTGGAAACTTTGTACTGCTACAGGATTGGGTGCCACCACATGGAATCGAAGGGCGTTGGAAAAACTCTCGCCTACTTGGAATGGAAGGGCGTTGAGTACCTGAAGAAGATGGAATATTCCAAGTATGTCCCTGATCTAAACTCTCTCAATTACCGAATTCGGGCGGAGCTCAACAAGGTGGTCTGCAGTGGCCGAGAAATCAGCTATCTCGCTGAAGCCAGGTACCGAATCACGGTTGCGTGGCAGAATCTGACGGCGCTCCTCCAGAAGGCTGTGGCGGAGTGTCATGATAGTATTTAATATGCTGTTGATTATGGTGGTAGAATTGTCCGATCAGAATTTAATAAAGTGTAACTTATAACGCCTCGAAGGTCAAGGAAGAAAAGTGACTTTTTTTGCCCCCCCCCCGTAGTTGATGTCGTCGTGATCAGTCGAGGCAGTGCCAAGAGATTCGGAATGACTTTACCCTCGGCGCTTTCGCTGGTTGTTTTCCTCCTGAATCGGTCTTTGATCGATCACTACTGGAGAAGAAGACTGCCAGAGACGGGCTCATTTCGCCTCTTCTGACACGGTACCTATTGCGACAATATCAATTATGATCGTCTTTGGTTAAGTACATCACTAGAACACAACAAGGAAAATTTCTGCCACTTTGGTGAAGTTCTGGCAGCGAGCATACCCAAGGGCAGGGCAACCCGATGGAAAATGAAGCGAAAGCCAGACAGATGCAGTACACCGGCGCTCTCTCTTAAGCGGCCTCTCTTACAAACTTTCCGCGTTTGCGAAAACCTTTTCTGCCTCAGTAGAGAGAAGCGGCACTGAATTTTCTCAAGCGCCTCTATTTGCGGTTCGATATGGGCAATATGTCTGACAGTGTGATGTTCAGGACAATGCCTTTCGAAACTAATCAGTGCCTCTGGTGGCTACCACCATCTGCAACTCGAGTGCGATTGTCGACAACCGTGTACGGAGAACGTATTCGAAACCGCCTACTCAGCAGCTGCATGGCCGTCTGTAAACTTCAAGATCGGTTCGTGCTTTGCTTTCTGAGAGATTTCCCATACATAGGTTGTATAAGTTTTTGGCGTAGTTCGGCGACAGGGAGGGGGGGGTGCACTTCCGTTGCTCACCAGTTCCGGTTTACAAGTCTCACTCTGGTGAAACCTGTGAACTCTTGTGAAGCTGGAGCAAGCTCGTCAAGCCATCATGGTAAAACCTGTCAACTCGAGAAGAGGCTGTCTAGATGGGTCGACACGTCGATGGGAAGTAGCAAAAGTGCAAAATACCCCTCCCCGTCTGAGCTACTCCTCCTTTTCTACAATTTACCGTCCATTGATATCTCGAATTTGGAGTTTTTGACCACTCCTTCTCTAATTGCACACAGTTCAGACACTTTTGAAATTGTGGCGCTTGTAAAACTGGAACTACATCTAAAATCCCTTAGATGTGGTAGGCGTGGCTGCGTACTTAAGCTAAACGTGACGATAGCTGTGTTTTTCTAAAGGCATTTTCATTTGGGCACAGTTGCGGTCATGTCGCTGTCCAACATGAACAAGATGACCGATGTCTAAAACTGAAATACCTCTCGAGTAACCAATTCTGTGCCATGTTTAAAGGCCACGCCCGCTCCGTCTCAGGGATAAGCAGTGTACTCATATTCGTGAATCCACCCCTATTCGTCCAGTCCACGGTTCCCTGCCTGCTACACACATCAACTCTTTCCACTTCATTCCAATCTCAATCAGTAGTTTTTCACGTTGGATGGAAGCTAGCACTGGAGGGAACTGTGGATTTTGGGAACAGTTGGAAAGGAAAGTGGAAAATTTCGCCATAGAAATTGCTAGATTAGAGTCCCCTCCTGCAGCGAGATCGTCACCATAAAAGCCAGAAGATTGCGAAAATTCAAAATTTTTTTCGAAACCATGCCACAAACTGTCGAACCGTTGGCTGCATTACCAGCTGGACGACGCTATTCATTCACCATTTCGCAACACTACTAATTGGCAATGATCTAATGTTTCGAAGCACTGAAAACAGCAAGTACTGTGCTAATGTTGTCGCTAGTAATATTGGAGAAGATAATCAGTTTTGTGACCTCCACAAAGACTAGAGATACCGCTATGGAGACGAGAATTCCTGCCTGAGGGTAAAGATAGAAGAAAACTCGGAGTGGGTAAACCAGTTCCAAGTACAATAGTACATGCATGGTACAGTAATACTTACAAGTAGCAGTTCCATTCGGATGAACTTAATTCTCGTCTTGCACAATGAGTCCTCTAAATTTCCGAGCCCCTCCAGGATTGACACCGCCTTATCGTCTTTGGTTCATCGTCTGGCTGAAAATGATTGAAGTAGCATGACCACGTAGCCCGAGAAAGGGTGACCAAATCGTGATTCGGCCAGCATCCTTGCCATGCAACGCCAACGACGCGAAGACGTTTGGGTAGATGGGGGCGGCCGGCATGTTCCCCATCTCTTAGTACTCCCAGTAACACAAACTTGAGAAGCCCTGTCCCTTGCCGACTAATGAGTAATGTAGCGAGTGCAGCTAGAGTACTGGCTTTTATGCTGGCGATCCACTTTTTTAGAGAAGCTAAATTGACTCACGATCAGGCTCGCCTGGGGGTGGGGGTTGGAAACATTGACTACGTCGGTTCATCTCTATAAGTTATTGCATTTGTCTTCATTCATAGACCAATGCGATACTGAATGGAGGTGAGACGTGTGGCACATTCCAAAAATTATTCATAATCAGCCAAGGCATTGTTTTATTGTAATCATGCTAAATCCACAAAACTGAGACCAAAATTCTCTTTTGATTCCGCTTGCAGGTGTCGATTGTCCGGCCGTCCTCGACATTTTCAACGACACCGCCGCTTGTACCGAGTACTACAGAGTGAACACAGCATATATCGAGATTTACTACGAGCAGCTGAATTTCGAAACGCTGAGGGAGACAGCTGGTTATACGGTACGTGCTAAGATCTTGAGAGCGCGTTCGGAGTAAAAACCTTTTTTGAGAAAGTTCTTAGAAAATAATGTGGTTCATAAGTTCCAAGAGATTTTATGGCCACAAGTCCTCATTATGGAGTACACACGTCTCCTGAAAATGTTTTTCTCCGTCATTTACGAGTGGGAGTAAGTTCATGCGAATAGATGGATGCCTTTTGCGGACACTCGGCTGTCCTTGCCCCTGGGGAACAACTGTCAAATTGTCATCACCCCGGAGCAGCTGAGAACTGCTATCAGCCGCTAACTATAATATCATTGTGACCTGAAAAATCACCAGCACAACTGAACAGTCGTTTGTTCCTTCTTTCGCTAACTTGTGAGGGTATACGAAAATTTCATAACTAGTTAACTGATCGTTGAGGCTGCTTTATTGATTTTTTATTACTTTTTTAGTTATCGGTTTTTCCTCTCCCGTTGCGAATAGGAACCAGCCGTCAAACTCGCAGTACACAACAAACTTCAGTGTTCAAGCCGCCCATCGTGCCATCACATGTCTTTATCCAGAGTGATGATAAGATACATATGTAAATTTGAGTGCACTCCCGACGTTAGTTAAATCCGGCACGCGCACATTCTTGAGTTGGGTACTGGTGGTACTTCCCATAGCTTAGATGGCTTTTACCTGAAAGAGAGACCAAGGCAGACGTTGTTTAGAATGGTCATCTGTGCCAGAACTGGTCCGTTTGCGCTCTCTGAGAAAAGCCATTTCGTACAAATCTGCTCGTTCTCTAACCGCGAATGTGGACAAATTCCACAATTCGATGATGGTTCTGTCATAACCCAACTACGGGGAATGATACTATGTAGGGCCAACTGATCCTTTATAAGTTGGTCGACTTTCAAGGGAGAACGCTATGGGTACTCTCTACAATTTTGTCCCGTTTTCACCATATGAACTGTTGGAACACCTTTGTTAGAGATAAAGGATGTGTTCTTATGTGAACAACTCCTGGAAGCGCCGTTAGAATATTGAGAGTTGGTCGTTGCATCTGACCAATCCCGCTATGAAAATTGATGTTGAATGGTGTGGTGAGGCGTTAAGGTTTTTACTCCCCAAAGCTTTGACCGCAGCGAAATCCTACTGTCACCTACATAAAGGCGAGAGCGAGCTATCTATCGTCTGCCACTCCCAGAAGCGCCCACCCCCCCCCCTCTTTTTTCTTCTCTCCATCCCATTGTTCAGGGGTTATCGAAATATTAGTTCGCAACACGTTCCTATTTTTGAGTTGGCATTGTTTGTACCGATAATAAATCAAATCAAATCAAATCGAGCTGAAAAACTCAACCACTTGTCCCAACAACCCGAGCTAGGGGGACTAGCTTCTCGGCAAGCATGTCATTTCATGAGCTCTGTCCCATCAAAAACATCTATCACGAATGGAAGACCGTTGCCTGACACCCGAATACATAATACACAGACTATTCCATTCTTTTTTTATTTATAATAGCATTATCACACTCGGAGTCGGATTTTTAGATGGTCAACCTGTTCTCCGATTTCGGTGGCAACATCGGTCTATGGATTGGGTTCTCCGTGATCACTATATGTGAAATCATCGAACTTATTTTTGAGATTGGTTATTACCTGCTTTACATCAAGCCAGTTCGGTGAGTGTCACTAATCTAGTCTATTAGGGTAACATTACCAAACTAACTACTAAAAACTCACTACTCCTTTGAATTTCTCAACAGTCTTTACTCAGAACTAGTATAAAGCAAAATCTGGTGCTGGCAAGGAATTCTTGGTATCATCGTAATTCTTAAAGACATATGGCACGATAATTTGGTCTCCGGTCTAGAATGCTAGCAGGCTGCTAGGTAAAGGGAAAACGGAGAAAAAAGAACGGTGTGAAACAGCCAAAGACCTGAGGAGACAAGTCTTCGTTCTTCGTGACTCAGAAAGCGATTTCGGACGAGTTTCCCGTAGGCATCATGCCAATATATATCCATGCAGAGCATAGGCGCTTCATCCCTTCGCTTCATATTTTACTTCGCAAATGAAGCAATACGAGCATCAGATCGTCCATTTGTGAGCGGGCGGACGTGGTGGGCGTCCGGGTCTGTATGTTGCGGCCTGATGGCATTATAAGGGTACCTTCCTGGAAAAGGCCTCATTCTGCGCCTGCTTAGGGGCGCGGAATTCCATCCTGCCAGGCGTATCAATCCTACTCGTCTTAGAGATTTATCGTGCCAACTGCATTTAAAGGCAGTTGGCACGATGGTTTCCTACTTAGCCTAAAATGCTAGTGGGCGCTGTATAGTGGGGAAATGGCGAAAGAACGGAGTGAAACGGTCAAAATCCTGCGAAGAAAAAGCCTCCGTTCTCAGTGACTTGAAAATCGATTTCGGACGAGTTTCCTTACCAATCACCGCTACCGAAGATACGGCTGCATATGTGTACCCATGTATGCATGCAGCATCACGGCCGCTTCATACCAATCCCTTCGCTTCATAATTTGCTTAGCAAATGAATCAATTAGAGCGTCTGGAACAGTCGTCCATTTGTGGGCGGGCGGGCAAGGGGGCGTTTGGGACGTAAAGTTGTGGCTTGATAGCGCCCTCATAAGGTCACCTTCCTTGGAAAGGGCATGTATGCACCGCGCCGCTCAGGGTCGCGGAATTCTACCCTGCCACGAGTATTGATCCTGGTGTCTTGGGGGATTTATCGTGCCAACTGCCTTTAGCTCTATCACTCACAATAGGTGAATATCATGTTGGCGCGAAGCATGATTTATAGCGAACGCTACCTTGGTTCTACTTCATGAAATGACTATGGTATAACAATTTTATCATGGATCCTTGCAGGTATCACAAGAAAGTCAAGCGACGGAATCAGCAACAAGCACATCTACCAGCATCGAGCAAATTTACAAGACCATGCGAATCGACTCCCTCATATTGAAGAAGATGACTATGGATAGAACTGCAGAGAGAAAGCCAATCTGCTTGACATTTATATCGTCTTTCACTTCACTGCCTTGTTAGTACTGACTTAGCGTTAGCGACTGAGTCAAAATTCACTCTTCTACGATGTAAAGGTCGGTCGAATATTCGGTCATACACTCACCTGGGTGAATTCTGCCGTGTGCCATGTGCAGTAGTGGGCCACTTTGCCCGGTGAAAAGTTCACGGGAACAGGACCGGAGGGTAAAGATTGTCTAGGTGTCGACCGCATACTCTGACCGTGCTGCGCGGCCAGATGCCTCCTGAATACAGCCAAATGCAAATTTTGTCTGAGTCCTCTCACCTCTGGTTCTTCTCTGTCGCTCAGGTGCTGCACACTGAGGATAGAATGAGGAGAAGTATGTAGGTTGCATCCGGGTATTACCCTACAGACCCCTTCCCATCCTTTTTTGATCGGAGAAAATGGCACGCTACTGCGGCTGCAGACCAGTTCACTTCGTATCTTGGAAAGGCCATTCTCGAAGATGAATGTACAGTTTACCTTTAGAACTGGGCCCTTCGAAAGAATCTCATTGGTAGGTGCATCAAGTTTTACTCTCGCAGAGGCGGGCCAGTTGCCGATGTTTGAATTTCATGTTATTAAGGATGAACTTCCCAGAGGACGAGGCAGCACCTGTGAAAAAAAGCCCCTCCAGCTGGAGAACCAGCTATCCTGTTTTGATTTACTGAGGTATTCGACACTAGTGCACTGGAAAAGAACTCCGACCGACTATTGGCTTCATCAGCATTACTGACCAAGTGTTGACAAATGTTCACGCTTCTTATGATCCCCACCCCCTTCCCCCGATTTTGCCCACTTTTTGCACTGCAGTAATCTTGATGTATTATTTTTGAACTTCTTCTCACTACGGGTACTAAATTCTGATCCATTCCATAGCATTTGATGGAAACTGTGTTTTTTGACGAGATCAGTAAGGCGAGAAGACAATTTCAAGCATCTTATTTTTGAAACCACCAACAACTTGACATCTCTTTACGAGAACGTTGGCTTCCTTCAGATTAGTAATCGATGATACTTGGCTGTCTCTTGAAAAACAAAGTTTCTTGTAGGTATTGTGCATTCTCATGTGATTTTATGGTTTCAAATTGAAAAACTTTCAATAAATAGTAAGTCTTTGCCCTGAGAAGGATTCCCAACGAGTTTTGCCCTGAGAAGGATCCCCAATAGGACATTATCGAAAAGTCGTTCCATGAGTTTCAACAACGAACAGAAACAAGGATTCAAGTTCAACCGTCGGGTCCCCCCGTTAAAGAATAGAATTTGTTTAAGAGTAGAGTAGTAGTAAGAATGAACGGCGAGTGCGCTGATACGCCGCTGTCGACCTGCTTGTTTGTGGAAAAGCACAGGAACAGTACACACCAAAATCAACCTCTACTAGAGCCTTCTTGCGGACCGGAGGGGCTTGTCAGCCAGTATGAGTGTGCACACTGTTGAAGCCGTTCTCAGCCCCTTTGTTGAAACGCGTATGCGACAAAAAGTGGTAGAAAACGAGTAATACGCGAGGATATAAAATATAGTTCATAATCATTTTCATCGCTTTATACTGGTGGAGAGCGCGATGTTTGCGCTACCGCGCCAAAACGTAGCCGCACTGAAACCGCCCTCCCAACAGCTACGCTAATGATGAGGACTGTATTTATTTTGGAGGGAAGTACATACGTCCAACTGAGTTCCATCTCAAATAGCCACTCAGAAAAAGGGGTCGGCAAGAAACCTACCCTTCCCTATAGCAGCACACCTTGTTGAAATTTTTCACGGAATAGTGCGGTGAATAGATACGAAAATTCACTTCGAACACTGTTCCTGGTCATAATTAGTCCAGACTGCCGAATCGGCCTTTGTGGTCTCCTTCCGGGCTCGATAATCAGTATCGCAGACAGGATCTAGTCATGAACAGCGGATCCTGAACTATATATAGCGTGGTTGTTAGGATGACAGGACGGATAGTAGCTGTAAAACAGAGCAAGCATCGCGCTGTGTGTAAAATTTTGGATAACTACATCCCTCCCTCCCTCTTTATACTTCTGCCGGGCCCTTCTTCGCAACATATTTAACCTATTTAAAGGCACATTCCGCGATAAAATAAGGCTATGACCTCTCAAATGTGTCGGACGATCCGGAAGGCAATTTTTGAGGCTGCGCTACTTTCAAAATGTGGAAAACGGCAAGAACTCCGCTAGAAGCTGACTAATTAGGCCCATGGACACCCCTTAGGCCCATGCCGACCCTCACCGGCTGCTAGCTACTAGCTAGTAGCCACTATGTTATCGTTCTCTGTAACTGCTTTTTCTGCTGCTTTTCTCCGCTAATCAGATACTTAGCACTTTTTTGTGCCTATTTGAGTTCCGTTTCCCGCAATTTGCGGTCGCGAACTGTGCCTTTAACCTTCAAACGGGCGGAGTGAGAGGGTGAAGACAGGCAAGAGTGACGCGACAATGTCTCACTAGTAATCTACACTGTTTCCACCCAAAAAAGGCCTCCAGTCAGTGGGGGAAGTGAATTTGAGCACTCCTTTCCGTTTCTGTGGCCCACACTACGACCGATACTCTCCGTTTATTGTTGCTTCACAATAAGGTGCTGTGCCCCTTCTTTCACGGCCGCCGAAAAAGTCTCTAGCAACATGCTCGTCCGCGAGCTCAACCCTGGAGAAATCAACGGCTTAGACAGCCATCGTCGATGTGTGAAAATGGTTGAGTCACATATGGACCCCCCCCCCCCGCTCCTCTCGAAGGCAGCATCTCCGGGTAACGCAATCTTCCCCGACACCTACCTACCACTTCCCTCTTTTTCTAAGGATTCTATCTATGGCTGCCAGTTTTTTGCCGCCGAGCCGGGAGGGGTTATTAGTTTTACAGATGAAAGCAGCAAACAAAGTCAAACAACCGGGAGGAATTTTTTTCCCAACGCGGCTTTCTCTCAAAGACACCTGCGACGCACCCCCCTGTCCCAACAACGAACAAGTACGCCCACCCTCCCCCAAGGGGCAGAATTACGACCCCCCCCCCCCGTTGCTGTCTCACACAAACGCATGCTTTACCCTGCTGGAAACTCTAGGTTCAGGCTCTTAGAATGGCGTCAAATAGCCTGGATTGTGAAGTCCTTAGTGTCAATGCACAGTTTCACGGCTTCTCACGGTGGTGGAAGTAGTGCTGCAGCGTATGCTGCTACCTAATGGAGAACTTTTCAAAACTACTTCGTCAAAATTGTTTTGATGTTGCGCGCCATACGCAGGATGTTTCCCCGCCCATTCCTAAGAAGTGAAACAGACTGACTTGAAGACCGCATGACTTAAAACTTGATAAGGTTTCAGCTCTGCCGCTGTAGCGAACTCCGTAACTTGAGCTAAACCAATGGGTAGCACTCATACAAACTTCTCAGTATTAGCGAATTCATTAGTAAAATCAAATTTATGTGAGGCAAATGATGACATGGATATTTTTGATAACTTGATCAATTGGAACTTATATACAACAGGAAGTCTGCAGGGGATGAGCAGGTTGGCAAAAAACGAACAAGACCTTCATCGGATGGCTTCACTCATAGGATTACGTCATGAATTGTCAACGCTTAAAACTTCAAAAGTACATATGAACATCAAAAAATGATAAACAATGATACCTAAAACAATTCGACAAGAAGCTTCAGAG